GGGCGATGGGTCCCACCTTGTCCGCCCCCGGAAAGGTGCCTGGAGCTCCGGCGAGCAGCTCCGGGAACTAAGGCCCAGGGGCGCGTCTGGCACCACTTCTGTCCTTAGGGAGAGCCTGGGGTCCATGAAACCCTCATGGGCATCTGGCCATCTAGTCGATTCCAAGGCCGGGCCCCCGAGGCTGTGAATCTTTCAAAGAACAGAAGACCTCCTTTTCGTTTTTCCCCCCTGCGGCGGGTGCGTGTGAACCACTGACCTTGAAGTTCACAGTCCAACACTTAACCAATTCCAACACTTACCAAGTCCATTACTTACCAGGCGGTGCCACTGGGGCTCCTGAAGCCTGAAGGTAGAGTCCTTCAATTCAGAAGGTGATTTCAATGGCTAGGTTGCTGAGCAAAAGGGCCTTGTGCTGAATACCTAGTATGCTTGCAATTCATTCTGATTCAAATGAATTCCATTCAGGGCACGGAAGAAACAATCAGGGATCGATAATAGCAGGTGCTGGAAACCGGAAACATAGTTCTTCACCTGGCTGGGCCTTGGCAACACTGATTAAAATGGGACCACTCCCCCCCACCCCCCCTGTCTTTCCCCTCACCCCCACACACAGAGTTTCAAAGGACTGGACTTGTTGCTCATTCTGCTGGGGAAGGGAGATGCTGGCAACTGTTCCCTCAACTGTGCAGGGAGGGAAACTTGGGCCTTTGGTCTCTCCACGTGCTGGTTACAAAAGCCAGCAAAGAAACAGCGCCGTCTGGTGTTGATAACGCAGCAGCTGGTGGAAGGGAGAGGATTTCTAGGGTCCACTTCGGCGGCCCCAGACTCCATGTTGAATTCGATTTTCTGAGGAAGAAGAAGGGGTCCTCATCTCCACCCCTAGGACAAGTAATCGAAGAAAAGCAACGGACTCAACTACTGGAGAAAGCAGTTGTATTAGTCTAGGTACTTTGGAGAAACAAATGCACAGCAACTCATGGATAAGAGAGAGTTTTATGTAAAGAAAAGGTGCATCA